TAATGTCGTCGACCCTGCAGGGCAGTGTAATATTCGTTTCCGTCGAACAAACTGCAAGTATTGAGCCAACGAAAATATAATAATCATATACAAGTACCATATTAGAAAATGTTGACATTACACTGCTAGTTGTTGGACAAACACACAAACATCGTAATAAAAAAAAAAATAAATAGTTGTTGCACCTGGATTTTATTTTTAAAACTATGAAACATCGACAAAATGTGTGTTAGTTCGGTTCACATTTTTCTCGTGTTTATAGGTACAGCTTGCGTTTTAAACCACACTGGCGATTATGATTTTGAATAATTCAATATTATATTACATTATATATTATTCTATCGCAAACGAAATCGGTGCACGGCATTTTAATGAGCATACTGAACTGAAAAGAAATAAAACTAGAATAACGAAACCATTGTTGTATTGTCGCTCGACGTTTTGGCTTTTTTTTTTTTTGTTCGCTTACACCCCATTTCGTGGGGGCGTCAGACCGTGTGCAGTGACGATCGGCCAAGTATTTCTGGGATAACAGATGATACTCTATAGAATTAAATACCGCACAAGATACGACACTAGTGAGTACTGATGAAAATCGTTTTCAGTTTTTTTTGTTTTTAAACACTTTTTCTCGTTAATATCGGAGTGCTCGATATATATAGTGTTTTAGTACAGTATGGGAGGGGGTGACCAACGATGACTTCGATACACTCGAAATATAATATACATAATCATACACCGCGTGGTATGACGATGTGTGGTATACCCATTATAGGTACCTACGTAATATAACATACGACGACCACACTACCTAGGTTCGGTGTCCCGAGGTCAAGGTTCTGTTTCTCGCGTATGTGTGTGTGAGTGTGCGTGATTCCGTATTCCGTTTTAGTCGCCCGGCTGGTAATTATTATTCGTTTCTGGAACCGTTGAAAATTATCGTATATTTTATAATTAATGTGTAAGACCTAAACTTTAACCTTATTTCACCACCCACCACCCACCTATACAACAGTAAATACAGTAAGTCGCTTGTTACACATAGGTAGGTATAGTTACCGTATAATAATAATATAATATATTATATTGTGTTGTGCTATATATAATATATCGCTGCTGCAGGTCCTTCAACAACGATTCACCCGCACCCTTAATTAGATATCACGTGAGATTTGTAATTATTAGACCGTGGCAGTCGTGTACACTAATAATTATACGCTTGAAATTGTCGGACGTGACGTGACATTGTGTCAGTTGTAGAGTAGATATATAGTGTGTGGGTCGAAAAGTGTACGGTTTTGGCATAAAAATGTAAAAAAAATTGTCGGTGGCACAGAGATAATCGAAACAGCGCGGCAGACATGGCACGTGAAACCGACTTTTGTAATGTACAGAATTGAAAATTTGTATTGTAAAAAAAAAAAACATAATATTATACTAATTGTTCGCTCTCCGGCGGCGAAATGGACGGAAATTACTCGGTCGCGCGTTATGTACAATATTACGATAATAATATATACATAATACCTAAAACAGTCGTCATTCGTGCACTATTATAATATTATATTTTTATACTACCTACACCTTTTGTACACGGTTTTTGTTTATTAGTCGCCGGTTTAATTTATTTTTTCATAATAAAATTATCGACATCATCATACGAAATTAATTTTCCCCGCCTGAATTTATTATCACTTTATTGCGTGCTTGTCGATCTGGTGAAAAAAAAAACGTCCGTTTTTCACGCAAACTACCCGTGTACACAATACCTATACTATATACATAATAATTTAATATTGTCTAATTTTTTTTAAAACTCGTTTCGCTGTATGTAATATTACTACCTAGCCATTCGTACATATGGATTAATTTTGACAAACAGTACATGACGTGTTCCCCCGTGTTGCCTATACGAACGACGATAATATTATTTTCCCAATTCATATTTGACATTTACGATGATAATTAATCACCGAAAAACATTAAAATGGTTTATTAACAATATCGAATGTTTTATTCATTGACCTGCAGAGGACCGTTATATACGTTTTATTAAGACTTGAAGTTTATTGTAACTATAATATGTGAACACGTCCCCGAATTTTACGAATTATTTTCATTGTTATTATCCGTAAAAAAAAAAATATTCGTGTTCACATGTTGTTGTGTAAAGTTTCAGAATGTGTATTTATTTTTTGGTTAAAAATTCACACATGATTGCATTGATGCACTATATACTTATTTTCCCCTCTGGCAATCGATGTAAGTACACGATTGAAGACTTAGGGGTTTTCTTTACTCGTATATAGCGAAGAATCATTTTACAATTGTTCGTGATCTTTGCGTCGATAGGAATATGTATAAGACATACTATTAAACAAATTAATTAAATTATCATTCCGACGACTGTACATAGTATAATATACTGTTGTTTCGAGATCAAAAGTTCAAAAAAATGTGTTCCATTTTATTTATATATTCGATGTTTGTTTTATTATTCATTCTATGAATTTATTATGTGGGTATCGTTGACCGTTAGCAGCAGTCTCCAAAGGTGTACCTGCTATAACCTAACCTAACCTTTTTTTATAGTTTTATTCATATTCACGCAACTTTGCATGTCGTGCTTTCTTGTCAAATTATTTATTGTGTTCGTCACACACACTCACAGTATTATTGTGAACTTTTCAAAGTAACCGATAGCTTAATTATTTATTACTTATAAATTAAAATTAACAAGTCCAACACTTATAGTCCAATAAAAAACCGTTTAACTTTTTTTAAATCAACCTACACTAGGATAAAAAAAAAACGTTCCAAATACTTACAGTCTCGATTAAACACCTATATAATCTAGAGACAAATATTATATTATTATATGATCGATATAAAGTCAAGAAATAGCTTTTATACAGTTTTTTAACAAAAAAAAAAATTGTATTGTGTATTTATTAGTTAAACTTTTAGAAAATATTATCATGCTTTGTTTATTGAACGTTGTTTTGTTGCTGTTTTTTTTAAAGTGACAGTACAACAGCGATTATTGAAAAATATAGTTTAGTTGATATTCTGTCATGGACAATAAAATATTTAAAATTGAGTTAAACACTAGATAAATATTATAGTGCCACGCCTGGGTATAAGAAGATAATGGATTTCATAATCGAACAGTTTCACAAGGACGTAGGTACTTAAGAAACTACGAAAAAAATGGCATACATACATTATCAATTTAAATAGTTATTTTGTGTTATCGAAAAGTCATTTAAAATAACTTCACTGTACGTGAGCTTTTTTTTGTTGTGGCACTCTTTTGCGGCTGATAATGATGATAGTTAAAATATTTATTTCGCAGACTGAACATTATCCTTACATTATTATATTTTATGTAGTAGAGGTTCGCAATAAAATATATTTTATAAATGATTTACAATACACTGCGTTATTGCTATCGTCAAACATATAATATATTTTTATGTTTACACTTCGAGCAAAGGGTTTGCCGGGTTCGGTCCGGATATCCGGCTGTTTTGTTTCAAAATGATTTGGTGTTTCACTCGTATAACGTAAAACCCGAATACCTACTAAAATAATATCAACACCCGCGCGATTCGTTATTTTTGCTATCATGGACATTATGTACAACGACGACTGCGGTAAAAAAAATTTTAAAAATCAGTTCATCGATTAAATTACATGCTTGAATGTTCTTTATCACAAATATATTACATTTCTTTTTCTTAAATTACGTGGTTAACAAGAATTCAGTTGAGACATTTTAAAAGTGTAATATGTAAGAAAAAACTTATTCAATGGCGTGGTACTCGGAACTTAAACGTGATTTATCTGTCGAATTGTTTCTCGACATGTGTACATATATATTTTTTACGGTGTATACATATTTTTTTTATTATCATTCCTGCGCATTAGCACACACACACCACACACCGTTTGTCTCGAGGGCCCATGTCACATTATATACAGGTACGTGGCCATCACGCCTATGGCTGCAGTACAAGTGCCAGCGAGCGTCCGGACGGGAATTAATTTCCTCCAGGGCACCCCTTCCATCTCTGAGTGTTGTATGTTAGGATATGCATAAACGTATATACTCGCTACATATTATATATACCTAGATGTCTAATAGTACGGTACTATAGGTACCTACTTCGCTCTTTGTATAATATTATATTACCCGCATCATAATATTATTATTACTATATACATTGGTACTTTGTTGTACGATGGGCGGGACCATCAAAATCCGACGTCAGAACCCTCCTCCCCACACCCGCTCGACGACGTGTACTTATAGATCAGTGAGCGTATATTGTTACGATCGCTCGTCAAGTCCCGAGGCGAGAGACCTCGACCACTGATCTCCTCGGTACCCGAGCTAGGTGCCCGAGGTGTCGACTAAAAAGATAAAATAGCGCCAAAACCGAGTTTAGTGCAAATACATCTGAAAACTTATTTGGCATATTCGAGAGTATATAATAATATATATGTATAATACCTGTCATATATACACCGTTAAAAAGGTTTGGAACCGCGTTAATATAATATTAAACAATTTTTGACGAGTGAACTCTCTATACAATGTTTCTGCGAAGACGCTATCATGAGCCCTGTACTGCATTATTATATACCTGTCAGGTCTCTCCTCTTTCCTCGACGACTTGACGCAAACGAGTATTTTTTTCGCACCGAACGAACACGTCTTAATACGCGGTATTATACGTGATTGTAAAAAATATTATATCATACCTACTTGGGTGAAGCTATGTTGTCTGCAGAATACATCAATCCGCAGGTTGTTGTTGTACCTGCAGATAAAAATCCGTAAACCTAACCTCGCCAATCCTCCAGGTGCCAATATCCTCCCATGTTACAATCATCGTTATCGTTATATCCTGCAGGCTGCAGCAGCTGTAACTAAAGCTATATACGCAATGTACAATAATAATATTATAATATCTCTTCTTTTCTTCTCGTTACAGCCACGATCGGACCTTTCGCCGTGGGTACGGTGCTGGCGTGGACATCGCCGGTGCTGCCCATGCTGCAGTCCGAGAACTCGAGGATCCCGATAACGGCCGACGAGGGGTCGTGGGTCGGTTCTCTGATCGCCATCGGTGCCATCATCGGGTCCATACCGGCCGGTAAGGGAGCGGACATATTCGGCAGAAAGCCCACCATCGCCGCCCTGGCGGTGCCGTTCATCATCAGCTGGGCAATGATATACTTCGCGACCACCGTCTGGGAACTGTACGTGGCCCGTCTGATTGCCGGAGCTGTTATCGGCGGAGTCACGGCCACCGTCCCGATGTACATCGGCGAGATAGCTGAGAGCTCCATCAGAGGTAAGTGCCGTGCTTAACGATATAATAATATTGTTATCAGATGGGTTAGGCCATCGTCATTGTTCTGTGGTTAGGCCGGCCTCAGGCCTCTCGAAATATAATATAATATTATTTTTATACAAACAATATAATGATTTGACGATGCCGTCGAGGTCACAGTGTGTGTGTGTCAAACAACTCGACTGTTACACCTATGATAGGTATACGTATAGTACAACTCTGAACGTATATATAGTATCATGACGTATACTTAGGTAATTGGACAACTATATATAATATTGTAACGGTTTTTTTAATTATAATTATTGTGTGTGTATGTTTTTTAACTTTGGATTGGACAGGCGCTTCGCAGAGCCGTTTATAATGTGCCTCACCCCTCCTCCGAGTGTAAAAACTATTTAAACAATTATAGTTGATATGATATCCCGTTAGTCCGATATCGTAGATTCGTATCAAGTTGAATATCTCTTTAAATTATACGCTGTCGACGTATGTCGTGTTAACACCGAAAGTTGATGATATTATACTCTATACCTGTACTGTCTTATAACATGCGAACGACCAGGGAATAATAAAATATATATTATTTAAAACAATTTCCCAATAAATGGAGTAGTATAGTATATTATAGATGATATAGCTTCGAAAGCCCTTAGGATTTTTCCTAGGATCAAACACAACCCTTTACAGCTGCAACCGTGACGAAATCGATGGTGTTTTTTCATTGTCTTCGATCATTTGACACTGACAAATTGCTATATCGAATAAAATTCCAAGAACTTGTTCAAATTGTTATAGGGATTCGTTGACGCCGGTATTCTCTTGATAAATATATATCGTACATAAAATAATATGTATGATAATAATATTGTGTTTTACCTCACTCACGGTCGTTAATAATTATTCCGTGTCATCTGTCTCCTATAGTTTATAAATAATTGAAACTCGACCGCTTTTCAATGGTGTACGATTTTCCCACGAATTGTATTAATTATCTCACGTTTATTATAAATAATGCCGCACACATCGTCGTATTGTCTGCATACGAGGCAAAAAATTGTTTATTAATGCAATGGTATTTGTAATTGATATTTTCTAATAGTTCTTGTTAATCGCACTAAACATGGTACCCTACCCTATACAGGTTAATTCACCAAGTATGTTCACCCCTCTTCTATCCTTTAGTAAAATGAAATAACTAAAATTCTGATTTTCGATATCTTTAAAAATATATACTTCTAAAAAACTGTTATCAGATTAAACTTTTTCCATCAAACAATAGTGTACTATGGCGACACAAAGTGCATTTTTAAAATGGGTCTAACATTTTTTTACTGTAGATTCTTAAGATCAGACGGTTTTGAAAATGTTGACACATAAATTACAATTTTAACGAGTACCTATAGTTTCTAGGTAATAATAAACCTTTATAAAGGTAAAAGGTTTTACATAAAATATATGAAATACATTTAATATTTTGTACTTGTTATAGGTACTCGAACAATTTTCATCAAATAATAAATTGCTATATTTTTTGAATCATCATAGCCCCCTAAAATCATAACTTTTTTAAATTGCATAATACTATCCAACTATCTGTAAATATGGTCATTATAAGTCTATAGGTCATTGATTAAGTAGATACTTAATACTTAAAGTAAACTACTTAATCAATGTCTAGGTACTTAAAAATTCCAAAACTCAGAGTTTAAATTGATGCATTACTTACTTAAAGAAAAAATGTGTTGAAGCTTATGAGGGTACGATATATATCATGTATTAAACATACATGAGAGCTATATGTCACGTTTAGCACCCAAAGTTGGGATTCATGTACGAAACTTTCTCAAGGTTTTGTAGCTGTTTTCTGACGAAATGTAACTGCAATATTTTTTTTTGTAACTCACAAAGAAGTTCAGATTACTGATTTTTGATACCTCTGTTTATCCGAAATTATTTTTTTATACATTTATTAATTTTCATATAGGTTTACTAATAAATAATTCCATTGAATATTGTGTACGTATTCATATTTATACTTAACAATTTGTACTGTCAAATCTTGCTCTTATGGTTATTTGGCAAAACAATTAATACCGACTTTAAGGTATTAAATATAAGCACTGTGCTAATATAGTGACAAATAAGTCCGTGTGTATATGAAGTAAACGATCCTAAGTGTGAGTGCAACACCCATTATAACGTCTTCTGCACGCAGCTCAAACATGCAAAATATGTTATGCGCAACGTCTTTTTTCGCATCATATGATTTTGTATTTAATAAGAGTATGAGCATTATATTCGTTCATATTTCCTACAACTCATCGCTTCAATAACAATTACAAGTAATAGTCAAATAAGCTCTTTAAAATAATTGCCATAATTTTTCATTTATTATAGTTATTAATGCACTCCTCGATGGCTCAATTTATAGTTTTCCACTTACGTTCATTAAGTGATTGTCGCTTGTATATCTAATATTCACGTCGATTGCATGTATTCGCATGCCGATTGCATGTATTCGCATGCCGATTGCTCTTTTCCATACAATGCACAAGTTTTCCTTATCTTATACCTAAACCAATTAGTTACCATAATTATTTAATAATATAAAACCGTATACTATGGTATTATAGTTCTGAACTTCCTTGTAAGTTACAAAAAAAGCTATCGTGGCTACATTTCCGTTACGAAATATTGAGAAAGTTTTGTACAAATATTCGAAACTGGTGGAACTGCAGTGTCGTAGATCAACATTAGATCCCATATGATACGATATGATCCCATATGATACGATATGATCCCATATGATACGATATGATCCCATATGAACCTCGTATCATTATTGTTGACTTTACTTTAAAATAAAAAAATTATTCCAAACAATTATTTCCATATTGTGTGCAAATGTAAAAATCAAAAACTATAGTTCAGTGTCATTGCAGTTTGCACTATCGTAGAATATACCATTCTTTATTTTGTCATTGGTTGAATAATGTATAGAACACGGTGCTCCGATAAAAATCAGACCTATTTAAGATAATAAGTTTTTTCCAAGTTAAGTTGTAAGATAGTTTTCGTAAGCAGGATAGGATATAGCATATACTATAGCATATAGTAGCATAATCATAATATTATATTATAAGACATTTGATAGTTATAGGTACCTAGTTATTCTATTTCGTAGATCATAAATCATAATAAACGTTGTTTTTGCAGGTGAACTCGGCTCTTACATCCAAGTAAAGGTGACGCTAGGCATATTGTACGTGTACGCCATCGGTCCGTTCGTGTCTTATGAGGGGCTGGCCGTCCTGTGCGGAATCATACCTGTGATCATGTTCGTCCTGGTCCTATTGGTGGCGCCCGAGACGCCCACGTACCTGTTGCGTGCCGGCAGGAGGAGGGAGGCGGAACATTCGCTGGTGCTGTTGCGCGGGCACGAGTACGACATCGCTGGTGAGCTAGAGGAGCTACAGCAGCAACTCGAGGAGGAGCAGAAGAGAAGCAGCAAGTTCAAGGATCTAATATCATCCAGGGCCACGGTCCGTGCGTCAATCGCCGTCATGGGACTGCTCAGCTTCCTGTCGTTTTCGGGCATCAACGTGCTCATATTCTACGCCGAGTCCATTTTCAAGAGCAGCAGCAGCAGCATATCTCCACAAGTCAGCTCTATCATCATTGGAGTCCTCCAAGTGAGTACCCAAAACCGTATACGGTAATCGCAGCGAAGACTGAGTGTTACTTTTGTTTTTAACCCATCGAAATTATGTTAATTTTTTAATTCAATAAAAGATATTCATACACATAAAAATAAAGGAACGGACGAGCTGGTATGTCACCGGTAGATAATCTATATATAATAACGATTAAGTACTAGATTTTTGGTTGTAACTAGTTAGTACCGCCTATACATGACATTATTATATTTTACGGACAATAGCGACTCGTCGGTTGTCCGAAGTTATTTCGATGTTTCCTTGCGTTGAATTCTATAACTATCTACTCTAGTTGGAATCGCCTGAATCTAAGGAATGTAATATTAGGGAAAAAAATCACGTCCGTAATACATATATGTAATATATATATACGTAGAACAAAATTATTATATGATTAACCATAATACGTCTTCTTAAAAACAATTATTTCATAGCTAACCCAAAGTCGTTTATGGCGATTTACCATGGAATATGCCAAACTAAGGAATTTCCAACCCCCGAAAGAATAATGCTTAATCAACAGTCGTAAACTAAATTATTTCAAAACAATTTATGTCTATGGCGTATAATAACAGTTACAGACGCAACTCATTCTTCGTATTTGGTGGTGCTGACTGCTGAAATCAAAATCATAAAAAATATCAAATCAAAGTAGGTTTTACTAAAAATAAAAACAACGAGTAAAAAAATAAACAATGCTATCAGAACGGTAATATAATTTTGAGCCCGAGAGTTATTCTATGAATGTTTACAAGCACTTAAATTACGACGATTGAAGTGTCAACCTCAGCCCTTTCAGTATTTCATTCCACTTATCCTAAGTCTCAAACTCTATTAATCAATTTAGTTTTAATGCATTATCCGTTATTATTGTTCGTCAAAATTCCCCAAATATGTGCTCTTTCGGGAAATAATAATTCAAACAAAATTTTATCATCATGGTATCCAACCGGTTATAATAGTGTTACGTAATAGAAGTTTACCTGAATAATAATAATTGATACAAGTATAGCGTTCTACGAGTCGTGTTCAATGTTTAACTGTAATATTTATTCATTATTTTTATTAAAACAAAAAAAAAATGTTTTGAGTAAGTACATATGTCGAGCATTTGACTATTAAAGTTTAATATATCGTGCGTTTAATAATAAATATAACATATCACTGTACATTTTTCCAACGTCAAAGTTTACTCACTTGGTTGCGGTTCGTAAAACAAGTCGTCGCGTGTGTAACCCGATATATCGTCGTATAGGTACTATAATATAATAATAAATTGAACACTATCGATTTCTAGACTTATGTACCGTTATATGTACCAATGCTCAATATACATTTATAATGTAAGTTATAACATTTGCAGTATAGTAGCAAATCGATGGTCGTTATAATATTATACAAATACCATGATATACGAGACACGACCACGGTAACAGTGGTAATAAAATATATATAGCAACAATATTAACGCCGCCCGTGTTTGTGTTATTTCCGCAGGTCAAGTACACGTTCGCGTCCGCACTGTTGGTGGACAAGGCCGGCCGGCGAGTGCTGTTGCTCATCTCCGACTCGGTGATGGCCGTGTGCCTGGGTTGCCTGGGCTACTTCTTCTGGCTTCAGGAGCACGCCGTCGATGTGTCCGCGTTCAGCCTTATACCTCTGATCAGTCTTGGCGTGTACATCAGTACGTTCTCGCTGGGCTTCGGGCCCATCCCGGGAGTGATGATGGGCGAGCTGTTCAGCCCGGACGTCAAGGGCCTGGCGCTGGGCATCGTGTGCGTGATCGCGTCACTGCTCGAGTTCGTCGTCGTCAAGATGTACCAAAACTTGTTGGACTGGTTCGACCACGGCATCACGTTCTGGATATTTGCTGGGTTCTGCGTGCTGGGAACCGTGTTCGTGTGGTTCCTGGTGCCGGAGACCAAGAACAAGACGCTGCAGGAGATCCAGAACGAGCTCAGCGGCAAGAAGAAGCCGAACAACCGGAAGGACAACCCGAAGGGCAACCGGAAGCAACACATGATGGATTCGCTGACCGGCGACCAGACGCACGCCGCGATCGTCTGAACACAAATCAAAAATATAATGCACAACACCGTCGCGCACTCGCACACGCACGCACGCAGTATAATTTCGTTATATACGGCGTGAGTGACATGAATAATAATGTACTGTTAAATTGTGTAGGGCGTGTGGGTGTGTGATGCGTGTGGGGGTGTGCGATAGAGTTTGACGAACTGGGCAGGCGGGGTTTTGAGGAAAACGATATTTTTTACAATTTTTTAACCCCACACATTTTTTTTATTTTTATCGAAAAACTGTTTGAATATCAAATACACTGAAAAAAAAACGTTTTCTTGTTTTAAAAATGCATTTGTGATTTATTAATTTTTTTTTTTTTGTTTTTATTTTCGAATCAAGCGACTCGTTTTGCCAATATATTCTACACATATTGAGGATATTATATACCCACTGTTATATATGTTTTCGGGTATTTATATACATATATATATATACACACACACACATATATATATATATATAGGTACACCTACCTATGTATTTGATTTTTTTTTTTTATTTATCGTACACTGTCTGTTGATATAACATAATAATAATATATTGCATTCCATTTTATTGTCAACTCCCGAAAGGACACAGTACCCCATTAAAAAAAAATATATATAGTATATTATATTCACTCGAACGAGAGTTTTGGGAGTTTTAATTTTCCGACACTTTTACACGCAAATCATGTATTTCATTTATTTTCAAACGTTGTTGTTTTATTCCAATAAATTTTTTTCTTCCGAAACGAACGCGATTTGTTTATAATTGGCGGTGCTTGGCCTTAAGCCACGTAGTTTAGTTAAAATAGACCATCGTCGTATGTATTTGGTATAGGTACGTGTAAAACACGCGTTGCTCTAAGCAACACAATACGTTTCCAGTTCTGTTTATATATATATATTATAATAAAAGATTTCGCTCAAGTTGTCGTGTCCGGTCAGTGGCAGTAGTATAGAATCTCACGCGACGCGCATGTGACAATAATAACGATTGAAATTTAATGTATAGAATGTCCTGGGGGATTTCTCGGGGTTTTTCTCTTTCCATCAGACGAACGATTTAAAATCAATTTTTTTTTTACTCAGACAATAAAATATATGAATATAATATATTACATTTTGATATATAATTCCTATTTTAAAATTACCCCGCACAATATATACCGTTCTCACTCGTTTTAGAGTACTAAATACCTTCGAACATATATTGTGCTTCTTTATTTTAATATAATATTTAAATTATATAAAAAAAATTATATCATAAATATATATATTAAACGTAAAGTGGATTTGTGATTTATACATATATATATATATTAAAACCAGCTAATTGCAGGTAGGCTTAGTGTCTAAAAAAAAAGTCTAAATGCAGTTATATAGAGTTTGCTCAAACAAAATATTGAAATATTAAATATTTATTTTTATACAATATATATAATATTGTTTTATTTTATATTAGGTAATTAGGTAGGTCATAATATTACAATGTCAATTCAAAGCACATATTATTATTAATGTTCGTTACAATTTTTATATTACAAATTTATTCCTTATATCACACACACACACTGAAAAATAAAAATTCACTCGTTCATCATATGAATATTATTATTACTAATTTCGTTTAGATTATAGGATCATTTTTAACATATTATAATATTTATATAATATTAACATAACCGTACGATCCCGACGACTCCGCCGTTCATTCACGCGGTCTTCCTAAGACTATAATATTGTGAATTATTATATTATTATTATTATTATAGTAGGTACCTACCATTTTTAGTGACATGCGCTACGTTCAAATTATCGACTTTTAAATAATGTATAATAATGTTTAAATTGTTATGTAGTGTACGTTTAAAATATTACATTATAATATTTACGCATCATATTTCACGTTACATATCGCGGTCATATTAATTTTATGTTGATGATTTTGTTTTTTTTTTCAAAAAGATTTAACATTTAAATGACGGCGATGTAAAACATTATTATAATAATAATATTTTGTTGTCAACGCGTTGCTCAAGTCGCGCGCACCTATGCCGCGGTTCAACGATAACGCGCGGCCGACGTGCAACTGGCCATTTATTATTTTTATTATTGTTAGTAATTATTATAATATATGACAATTGGTCGATTATCATACTTTACCGTACCACATTATGTTGTACAAGTATTTAATAATATGTATAATACTATAATGTATTGTAACATGTCTATAGTCTTTAAGGTATTTATCATTTGTAAATATTTAGTTATTAGTTAGGTATATTATTATAATAACGAAACGCGTAGCATATTAGTTTTAAGTAGACAACAAATTATTTACATACAGTTATTATAATTAATATTAGCGTATTTCAGACAAGACATCAATGTAGATTATTATAATATAGTTATATTTTAATAGTAATATCATTAAAATATTTTTTGATATAAAAATTATATTTTCATTGTCTTAGCAAGCCTAAAAAATATTTCATTCCTCCTCCGACTAACAAACATAATTATAACACATCACTGTCGGACCTATTACTATGTATAAACACAAATGTATTCATAGTTGTATGGAAAAAAAAGATTAAAAAGTCTGATCGTTAATTAGAAAAATTGTACAAAGGGTAATGAACGATGGTATCAAAAAAAAAAAAAAATAGTATAATAACAGTAAAACACTAATTGTTTATTATCAGAAATAATTTTGTAAGACTCAAGACTGTACAGTGTACCTACAGGTATGATTGATTTCAAAATAGGTACTTAGTACTCGTCTATTTATAATTTTATTTTTATGATACTATTTTAAACAGTTGTCTCACCCTCACTTAAAACTCATAAGATAATCATTGATATTAAACACATTTCTATATCTTCAAGTTTTATTTTGATTTCGTTCTGATACTTCCCTAAAAGTATAGGTATTATTCAACTACGCTATAACTTACATTTAATTTTAACATTTTTATGGATACCTAAGTATATTATTGTTACAATTGTTGATGGTTTAAACTTTAAAACACATGATGTCATAACTACATTTTCCGATATAAAACACACATTTTACATACTATTATGATCAAGACGGAAGTTCGTTTAGGTACCCTTCATACAATTTAAACACATCTATGTGGATATCGAAATGAGTTCATACAATTTAACAAAAATTCGACTAGACAATAAGTGGTGGAGTGGCTTTTATTTGATTAATATTTTTCTGACAACAGTTGAAGAAAAAAAATTGGTTTCAAATTTCAATAAAAAGAATACCTTTTTTTTCAGTACAGCAGCGCACTAGTGAACAATAACAATATTATCATATAATTTTACACTGCAGTACTGCTCTATTGTCTATTGGCGGGTTTTAAATTATTTAATTATGTGAATAGCTGTTTTATAACAAATGTCATCGTCATGCTTACAGCTTACTATATTTTATCGGTGAAAACTATCAAGCCCAGTTTTCATTTGACCTTTTTTACTATCAGAAATATCCGGCTGAGCTTATAACAAAAAAGGTAATCATGGGCTCAGCTTACATTTGCCTTTGCCATCAATAGAAAAGTAGTTATTAATTCCGAAGAAGTCCTTGAAGTCGTATCTTAAAATTCAAGAAAAATGTATAGTTATCTACCTACACATACTTATATAAATGGCAATTACATTTTTTTAGGTTATAATAGGCATATCGAAATATAATTCTTAATGAGATTTAATGATTATTGTTATTGTAGTGATTGTGGTGGCTAGAATCTCGTGGCAATATTTGCTATAAGTCTGTCTCACCATGACATGAGCACTCGTTGGCAACATAATATCATACACTGGTGGTGCATGTCTTTTTTAATTTTTTTCAAAAGAAAATATATCAACGTAAACATTTAGGTTAAATATATGGTTCCGAGGAAAGTGTATGCATATAGGGCGGAATTGTCGCTCCGATACATATACCTGTTTAACATTTTATCATACAATTTAAAAAAAAACAACAACTAAAAAATTCGACACTAGAAACTCTAACACAGTATATTAAGCTTTAAACTTTTTGACATAATAATATAATATACAAAAAAATCACCACTGGTTATCAGCGGGGTGCCATTTTTCTATTCAACCCAACTGCTCAAAGCATAGTAAACTCAGTTTTTACTATTGTTTAAATGATTTAATGACTTACCTATATCTATATTCAAAAATCGATGTCCAGGCGGTATAATAGTACTATATGAAACAAAGGGAACAATATATAATGCGGAACAGTTAGAAAAACAATAAAAAAGTCGAGCGTGTAACAAGTACGCGGGGATGAAGAGAAACTTCTTTCAGTCATGCAACTGATATGACTATATGAGGTATTGGAATAAAATAAAAAAAATACACTTTACAATTTTATATTTAATAGAACTGTTTTTTTTTTATTATTATTTATTTTTAACTAATGATACAATGGGCTTATGATAGCTGAAATAAGTTATGTACGTTTTTGACTGTACATTATTAAGATATCGTGTGAAAATAGCATCTATTGTGGTTCCTGACAGCGTTGTTGGAATTTTTGGATCATTATTCATTGATAAATTGAGATATTCACGAAAAAATTGTGTTAATGGTTCTGATCTATCCGATGCAAAATTACCATTAAAGTCTCCACTCAGAATCATAGGCAGTTTATTTTCTCCCCTGCCGAGTAATGGTGTACCTTTGGTAGAATAGGCAATCAACGATCTTTTTAAAAAATAAACTATATCATCTATTTTTTGATTTGGTGAGATATAAACTGCTACAATGATGATGATTGGTTCATTTTGTCTTAAACACTCAGCAACACAAAATTCACCGACAGGAGTAATTTTGGAATTATATAACTTTGATTGCCCTAGGATCAATTTTAATTTTAAGGATTTTATTTTATTTTTGACTTTGAGACCACTAGGTTCTTTCGTAATGCATGTACCAGAAGCTTCGTCAGCAAACTGCTGGAAAGAGTTGAAGGCTACTAAAATAAAACAAACCACTGTCAAGGGTTGAGAACGTAATAGTCTATTGACCAAACTTTAAGTTAAATAAAATGACAATCTTTTTTGTTGTAATAATAATTCACAAATATAATACCGATAACATAGATAACATAGATAATATAGAAACACAGAATTTATATATTATATAAAAAAATCTAATTAATATAATTTAGTTGTTATTACATAGGTACTACAAAAATAATAAACTACGTTTCTATGTTACCGGTTAACCGATGCACAGCTGGTCCGTGACGGTGGCTCGTGACGGCCGACCGTTATGCCGACCGTGCCCGACCGTTGTTTATTTTTTTTGTACCCTCTGTAAAGAAGTTTCACTTCAAAAATCATAATTTGCAATTATATTTTTTATTTATTTATATCACAGCTATATCGGATCACAATTATATGTGTGTGTGGTTGTATGGAACACTACAGCGTTAGACGCATTTCTGTTAAAAGTGTCTCAAGTGCTGACAGCCTATGATCCCGACGGGCCTTGGGCCTGGTTGGATTTCTTCTTGCCACCGAGCAACTCCTGGATTTCCTGCAGAGACTTGTTCTTCGTCTCCGGCACCAGGAAAAACACGAACATGGTACCCACCACGCAGCAACAGGCGAATAATCCGAACGTGATACCGCGGTCGTAGTTGTTCAATAGCGTCTGATACGACTTGACGACACTGAACTCAATCAACGATGCGAGCACACAGACGATTCCGATGGCCAGTCCCTTGAATTCCGGGCTGAAGAGCTCTCCGATCATGACGCCGGGTATGGGCCCGAAACCCAGAGCAAACGTGCTGATGTAAACGCCCAAGCTGATGAGTGGCACAAGTTTGAAAGCAGACACGTCGACGCCGTGCTCTTCTTGCCAGAAGTAGAAGGCCAAGGAGCCGAGGCACACGGCCATCACTGAATCGGAGATCAGCAGCAACACTCGCCGGCCAGCCCTGTCCACCAGCTGCGACGACGCGAAAGTGAATATGACCTGTGTGCCACAATATTATTATTGTCACGTCAATCGAGTTATAGGATTTATGATATTTTGTGAATAAGTGATGAATATTGGTCGATTTATATTATTCGCACCATGTTCATATAATATTATAATACATAATAAATAATTATTGTAATAGTAAGTAAAATTATGTTCGAACTAATTTATGAAGGTTTGCTATCGTCCGTCGAACAAAATAATAATACATTTGTTTTTTTAAATCTAAAACAAAACATTTATTACAAATCAAAACTAACATTTAGTTACAAAATTACCTACCTCCTGGAAGCTTAAGCAGCTTGTTTTGGAGATGAGGAGCTATGATTACTACTAAATATAATAAATAAGAATATAACATAAATATAAAAACTTAAATTTAAGATTACACAAAATACTCTTCAAGGAAAAAAACTAGTTTTTTTTATGCTAACATTGCTAACAACAAATAAATTAATAAAATAAATAATATGCTATAGGTATAACAAATAACAAAATTTAAAAAAGCTGGTTAATATTACCACAATAACTCATTATCTAATACCAAAAAAAAAAATATTTATATACGAAGCATTTAATATTTACAATTTCATCCCCAACTATCTTTTTTTTAAATAATTATTAACTACCTATACTATTATACCATTTTCTGTTAGATTCAAGTAAAGATCTATTATTTTAACGTTCGTGGAACGATCTCGATGAAAGCAGAAGAGTGTCGAGAGGCTAGTAATATTTAGCCTCAGACGAGTCATGAGAAGGACGGTGGTACGATTATAAAAATATATATCATGATAGTGGGGAAGTCAGAATATTATAATTAAATGAGGCTGAACGATTCGGGCCTCAGAGTTTGTCAACATTATCCATTAGTCATTTGTCGAAACGACGTGATTTCCACTAATAGAAAAAGGAACGGAGAGTTGTCATCATGTTGTGTAGTGTAAGTGTATACCTACCTATAATACTTGTTTCACAAACTAAAGATATTATAGGTTCTTATCGAACAAATAACAATGAACATATTATTATTATTCAATTTTAAATTTTGTACTTGTACAAGGCTCTAATATAAGTTTTTAAAAAGTTTAAATTTATTGTTTATCTGCCTCACCCCTCAAAAGGTTCACGAGCCGCCACTGCTGCAGACTGTATACATTAATACACTATACAGTGTTCACTATGAGTGGGATCGATAACACTACAGACTTCTATACTACAAATTACAATAGATAAGGAACTCCTATATCCATGAAGCTCAAATGTGGACGGCCGCCATTTTGTCGGCTGGCAAAACACTTCATTTATTATACCAAACATATTAGGAATAACATCATTTTTAATGGTAAAACAAAATAATAAATGTAAACATTTTTTTTTTAAACAGGTATATAAATTATACAATAAATACAATACAACATAAATCATAATTTATCTTATTTACCATATAAAATACCATACAATTGCCAACCGACCTTGAGGCTTATGCCGGGAGTTCGATATCTAGTACTAGGTATATAGAAATCTGTGGATGGCGCTAATGCGGCTATGCTAAATTTCTACGAAGCATATATAATACGACGTCAGAGAGAAAAAAATCAATAAGGTGAAGTCTTCGTACAGATGACTTCAGTAAAGACAGTTGTAGCCATTTGGGTATACTCACTTGGAGGACCCCGATGACGATGGAGCTGGCTTTCGGGGATATGATGCAGTTGTCGCACTTGAATATGGACTCGGCGTAGAATATTACCACGTTGATACCCGAACACGACAGGAACGCAAGCAGACCCAAGACGGTGAATGCAGCGCGCAACGTGGCCCTGGATTTGACCAGCTCCGTTAACTTGCTGTTTGGCTTCTTCTCCTCGAGCTCCTTCTGCAGGGCCTTCAGCTCACCACTGATGTCGTAGTCTTTTCCGCGCAACATAACCAACGCATCTTCTGCTTCCTTGTTCTTGCCGGATCGCCAGAGATACGTTGGCGATTCGGGCAACACAATCAGGATCAGGAAGAACCAAATCACCGGTAAGATGCCACACATGATGGCCAGCCACGCGTAATTCACGAACGGTCCGATCGAGTAAACGTACAATATTCCCAGTGTCACGTTTAACTGTACGTAAGAGCACAGTTCACCTGCAGAAAACGTAGGCCATGCCGTTTAGCTCGAAAATACAGCTGTGTGGTCTGGCTCTCAGACGTATATTATTACATGAACGCCTAGTATATTATGCATAGTATATTATGATAATGTCTTGCAGTTTGATATTATCATTAATTGGGGTGGGGGGAATGAATTGGTGGTACAGTTATTGATGTTTAGTATATAAATATATAAATATTATAAGGTTAACAAAAAATAGTTTTGCCAACACGTCAAGTTTCTAGAATGGTTTCATATTTTTTGTTCGATGTCCATTTGTGTAAGGGAAATCATCAAATTATATAAAAGTATCAAAATATTAAAAGCCTTCGTCGTGTTTTTCAGTCCAAATTTATTTATTTATTCACAGATAAACGTTCTAATGACGCATACTAATCTACCTCGATACTGAGCTAATATTGGATATAATATTAATTATAATTGTTTTAGACAGTTTTATTAGTCCATAGTTCTAAGGTTCCTAGGAGAGTAAGTTACGGGCGTCATAAATTGGTATGTGGGGTGCCCACCAAATCCAGAGTTTAAAACAAAACCATTAGGTACAATAATATATTATTATAATGTGGTCGGCAATTTTCTTCTTATATATATTTTTTACCATTATACGCAGTAGATGGCCACTGGTCAGTATAGTGAATTTAAAATCACATCGACGACGTCGTCACATTACTATATTATTAATAATAAGTAATAACAATACAAACATTAAAAAAAATTGTGCACAAGATCACTTACCTCTGATGGACTTCTCGGCTATCTCGCCGATGTACATCGGGACGGTGGCGGTGATGCTCCCGAGGCAAGTTCCGGCAATCAGACGCGCCACGTACAGATGCCAGACGTCTTTCGCGAAGTAAATCAATAACCAGCTGATGGTGAAAGGCACTGGCAGGAAGGCGATGACGGGCTTTCGGCCGATTAAGTCAGCGGTCCTGCCGGCCGGTATTGACCCGAAGATGGCACCGATGGCTATCAGGGAACCCACCCATGACCCCTGGTCAGCCGTCATCTTGATCTTCGAGTCTGCGGACAACAGCATGGGCATCGCAGGTGACATCCACGCAAGCACCGTGCCCACGGCGAACGGACCGAGAGTGGCTGCAATGAGAAGATAAAGAAAGACTTTTAAATAAATTAGTAGGTCATAAATCGTAATGGCGTTGTGCACACGTAGCTGCAGTAGGATATTACAATAACTTTTGTGTTATATTGGAGATGAATTAGATTTAAAAATGATTACAATATTGTTAATAATTCAAAATAAATATTTAAATTATTATTATTTTTCTATACAACGACAATATAGTAATCGTAATCATTAGATATCATTATAATTGTATGACGTGTTACTCACCGGACAATGCGGTGACGTATTGTCTGAACTTCTTGGCCTGTGGTTCGTTTGTGCCACCGCTGAAAACAGACAAATCCGTAGTTAGTCAGCCGTTTCAGATAATATTATAATTGTATACTACTTCATGGCAAAAGAGGTTTCGAGTTAATTATAGTGGACATGGCCCTTACGATAAACTAAAAAACTAGAGCGAACCATACCATAACCTAACCATAAGCAGTTCTAACTGTTCTAAGAAAACCCTATCTGCACCCTAAGCTTAATTAGCAAGCCCGGATTAAAAATCAATTGGGCACCGGGCTACACGTAGTGGGCCCTCTTTCAACTTAAACTTCAAACAAATTGTATAACTACATTTTTAAGACAGTACCTACAAATTTGTATAATTTTGTAGGTACTATAGTCTATAATACAAAGGTGCATGGCAAGTTAATGAAAATAATTAACTCAAGTTAAGTTAAGTTAATAGGACACAAGATTGATAAGTTAAAATTTAACATTTAACAAATTATAAATTTAACTCGATAAGTTAAAGTTAATATAGAAAAAAATATTAACTTAACTCAGTTTAAAAAAGTTAATTTTTTTTTTTTAATAAGTATGTTAATCACATAAAGAGTGAATGTGTATTTCTAGTTTCTAATTTATAAATTATAAATACAATTGTATTGAACTTTTATCATAATGTACAGTGTATACCATTTTACTTTTATACTTTACTATTATTTACTAATTTAAACTATACTCATCTCAAATTAATAATTTAACAAATATGTATATTTTTTTTATTAAAAACATTTCTGATTGAAACTCGCATAATATATAATTTACAACTTAATAAAATATATTAATATATATAAAATTATGTTATCAAGAAAAATAACAGACATTTTTGTGTTTTTGTATTGGATTATTTTTATTTTATACTGATATAGTATAATATTTACGTACTAACCAAAAATTTCAAAATGTTTTTAACTTGATGGATTTTTTGAAAATCAACTGAGAAAAGCCAAGTTATTTCAACTGTAAATTAAACTATATTTAAGTGCATAAGTTGATTAGAAAATAAACTAACTAGTTAAGTTAAAAAGTTAAAAAAAAAATTAACTTTAACTTTTTAACTAGTTATGGCCGACTTTTGCTATAATATTACCTCGACAACCATAGATTATATAAAGGCTATCTATGAGTATACATTATAGTTCAACTCCCATTTTATAAGATTCATCATATTGTTATTAATTATTAGAATATACATATTATATTTATTACCATTTAATAATTTTTCGTGATAAAAATTTGAAACATTTTTATTTTATAATTTCTAGTTCCTATTATAGTTACTACCTATTTAAACGCATTAAAAAAAATATGATAAATTAAAAAAACAAAATTACACGATGAGAAAAAAAACAATTTTATTCCTACAGGAATATATTGGATAGTTATCTAACTTTAAAAATTTACTCGCAAACGTAAATACCAAACATCTTAAGTTTATTTTATTATTTTAGAACAATATTATATTATCTTCTTTAATTTTACGAGTAATTATTATTATTAAAAAATACGTATTTGTTTCGTGAGAATTTTTAATGCGTCGCTTATTCTTATTTTTAATTTTTTTCCTTACATTCTATCCGCTAATGATAACAGCAGTGGATTTCTGTTGTGTGCAAGAAAAATAACGGATCCAACGAACCATCTCAGAAACTGAAAGATTGATGACATGCATGTAGCTAATGTTAGATATACATGTCCGAAAGCGGTCTTGGGAGTCATTTTGAGTGAGTTTATCCGATGGAACCTTAAAACGAAAACATTGAATTAGATAATTATGTTTTTAAAAACTGTTTAATACAATTATTACTTTAATTTGTACGTTTGTTTTAGATGACAATAAGAGTACAAGACTAAATAATATGAATTTTAGTTTTTCATCAAAATTATTCTTAAAAGTCAAAAACAGTTTACATTGTTAATACTTAACAATAATCTAATTCTCTCTGCGTAGCCGACTTACGTACTATAACATTTATGATTTATCTAGGTGAGTTTAATAATTTAAAAACATTGTCTTAGAAATAATAAAAAGTATTAAACATTTACTTACTAGTTATATATACAGTAAAAAAATAATACTTATTACAAGAAAACGGTTGATAACTTCTACAATATTTTCAAGGTTCTTAAAAAGTATATACTTTAACTATAAGCGCAATTAAAATAAGTAAAATCTCATAAATATCATGTCAAAGACGAGAATAATAAATACATTTTTATAAATTGTATTATTAATTTTCTTAGATATAGAAAATGTTTGTAGAATCAACAAAAAACTTTAAGGCCAGAAGACATGTCAGTTGTTTTAAAACATTACGTAAAAAGGAAATAATGTAATATAATATTTTTTTTTTTTAAACAGGATATTTGATCTGTTGTACAGTAGGTTTTTGGTTTTCGAGTGTTTGGCTTGTAATGGAGTCACTGTAATGGATGTGTCAGGTTTAAATTCAATGATCATTTCATACGAAAAACGATTTTGAGCGGAGACAGTAGTCAGCCTTTATTTCCAAAAATATATTTTTAAATTCAATTTTAAGGCAGTTTATTTTTCTACATGTGTGTTCAACTTATTTAATCCAATGAAAAATCATATAAATTCAACTATTAATTATTACGATATCGTATATCATACTTTTTGAATAATTTAAACAATAACTAAAATCGATATTTTTCATTTAAATACAACATTTTAATTTCAAATATGAAATGTCTATATTGTTTCTAATAGAATACGTTAATAATAATATATTTTCAATGCTTTTAGAATTCTGTATGACTAATTTATCAAAGACCTTGCATCAAAATTGCAAGCTATGGCTATTAAAGAAAATATATAAACCTACTACTACGAAATAATTTGTATATTTTCGTGAATTTCACACACATTTTTTAAAATTTTAACTTCAGAACAATTAAAAAATTGAATTTGTTTATTTTTAGAATTTTGTAATTGCTATAATTAAAATGTATACAAGTTATGACTTATGAGGAATTTCGTGTAACAATTTCAAAATGTTTGACCTAGCATAAAAGTTTTTATTTACATTTATAGAAAAAAAATTATAGTATTCGAACAATATTCGAATGCATATAAGTAGCTTACAGTTAGTCTAGAAAAATTGAAAATATCCATTATGTACATAATATAGTAGAAGATAATTATTTAAGTGATAGTGTAATGTTTTAAGTTTCCGTGGTTAAGACGACCCACATTTATGATGCTTCGGTTTTACTAACGCCTATATTATCATTATTAGAGACAATTTATTATTAAAATGTTACCATTATGCATGGATATAATATAATAATATTTTATTGAATACCAGGGTATAACATACAATACGGTAAATTATGATAATTTACTAATAATAAAAGGTTAGTCAATTTCTTTCATATATTATTATAATTACTAACATTTATAATGCAATAAAAAGCGAGTTGGGCCTTCGTTAAACCACCGTGGCGTTGGCACGTGTTGATCGAAAAATAATAACGTTTAAATGTTAAACCATTTAGAGAAAAAAAAATACCAACACAAACTAATATAACCACATTATATTCAACATAAAATATGCGTAAATATAATAAAATTTAAAAAGTATTCCAAAGAAAACATCAGTTCAGATTATTAACTTATATTATAATAATATTTAAATAATATTATCAGGATATTTTTTGATATAAAAATACCTATTTATTTTCACTGTGATTATATACTACAACATGAAAAGTAAGGTTATATATAAATATATGTACAACATAATAATTGGTTTTAAAAAGATAATTTTAACTAAACATTAGGTACCTTCATAGTTATATATTTTTTGAAACTATTTAAGTTATATACGGATAAATCAAATTTTATTCATTCATTAAGACTTAAGGGAAATCGAAACCATCTTTGATTTGTATACCTGTGGGCTGTGGCTATCGACATTGATGTAACATTTGAATTATATTCGTCGTATATCAGCTATAATATGTGCAGGTAAACAACAACAAGCTCTGTGAACTTACTTTGATGCATGTTATCGACGATCGAATTATATTATATTGGCTATATTTAACTTATAATTATGTATAATATTAACAGTCGACGCGATTATTTAGATTTATGTTACCTACTATTTCATCTATGCAGTTTATGAATATTAATTATTGTTTATCAAGGAGGAATGCGCTATCCTTGAATCGTGTGGTGGCGGTAGATGCAACTATGCAAGTCACACGTGCACGTGTCGATAATATACATATATATATATAATAATACCATACACTGCTTTCCTGAAAATGTTTTATCTTTTAAAAAAAATAATGATCAACATAACCTAACCTAACCATGAAGTGCAACGTTTATAATATAAAATATATATATAACGTATATACCTAAAATATAATGTTATTTAAAACATTTGGAGGGAGGCAAAAGTACATACATTTGCTACAAAATTGGCTAAACACAGTGTAAAACAAAGGGCGATTGGGGGGGGGGTCAAATGCACCCTTTGCCCTCCCCCCTGGATCCGCCACTGCGTAGGTAGTAATATTATAAGCTGACAGTCTTTCGTATATCCAATTATGTAATTATTTTATATCATTGATTTAAAATTTAACACATCTATTACAGTGACTTCTCTAGACACTTGATGTACAGGAGAGCATCACCCAATTTTTATCTTGATATTTTAACATGGTCAATATATGGGTTGAAGTTATCATAATATAGTCTCTCTCATTTCCCACTGTTCCACGAAATTGTTATTTTTGGTTGGCAAACGCGGTTATCATGATTCTGTCTTACAAGTATGTTCTTTCAATCCTTATCAGTATATCCGGTTATACTGTTCTATGGTTATACCTAGATAGTATTACCTATACAACTGGATACCGAACGAAAATCATTACTTTCATAATACGTTTATAAAGAGTTGTTTTTTTTTTTAATTCGTAGCTCAACAAACACCATAACTTCTTTCCAGGTGACTGTCAAATTACGGGCTACAATAAAATTAATTTAAATCATAGACAACAATTTATTCCGACTTTTAACTTGTTAAGTCGGATGATTTGAGAACGTTCGGACTTCCGAGAACTTCTATAATTGTGCCCCGTCCTTGAGTTGGTACCTATAATATAATGTTATATTAAAACGACATTTCAATTCATATATTATGAACGCAATCATAATAATTGTGCAAGATGGAGACAATAATAATAATAATAATAATAATAAACTGTACTGGTCGCGTTTACAGACATCTCCAAACAATTATATTATTATTATATTACTACATGACGTGTCACTTGCATGATGGATACAATTATATACAACTCAACACGTTATTATTATTGAACACATTATGATTTATCGTGGTCATCGTTCAATTGGAACGGAAGACAATCGTCGAGATTAACCGCTTACCGCGATATAACAATCATGATATTATAATGACTAATAAAGTTTATTAATCGAGCATTCGAGTTTACCCGTTCTTCGCAATAATTTATTGTATACGATTATGTTTAATATTATTATTTATTATTATCATAATTGTCGATGGTCAATAAAAACGGACGATGACGTGGTTGGAATGCATATTAACCCTGTCGGATCTTGAACGATTATGTTCTTCTCCGCGGACAGTTGAATTTTCGTCGATAGTATTATCTGAGCGAGACATAAATTTATATTTTTTATAAAATTATTATGATATATTAAACAATAACTATCCCAACACGAACCCGTGTATCCCGAGTATTTTTTCATGCAGTATAGGATATGATAGTCGATGAGAGTACGTCACAAATTATTATGTTATAGGAGAATTTAAAGGTTTGACAGTTTATTTTATAGATATATCATATATTAATACCTTGAATTTAATTTGAGATTTTATATTCGAAAAAATAATTTCACAACCTATCTAGTGATTATGTAATATGTTTAAATAAACAGTATTTAAAACTGTAATATTCCATATAAATTATAAACCATTATGCAATCTAAAATACAAATACCGCACAAAGATCATATTTTAGGTAAGCAATAGACAATAGTTATATTTATATAGGTATATAAGTAGGTACCCACTATGTGATATAAATATTATAAGACTAAAAATATAATCTGTGCATGATAATAAAAAAACGATTATACCCAATGACCTATGTATAAATGTTTTATTATGTAAGGTGTAAAGCAATAAACATAACTATTATATATTTAGAATGTATTTTTATTTAATCAAACAAGACGTGTTCATTTAATAATTCATCGAACAAGTATAAATAGGGTTTTTTTAAGTGGCTCAAAAAACTTGTTGCAAGTATTATAATATAACAGCTGCATAGTTTAAAAAATGTTTTATTAATCTCTATTAAGTATTCAGTACCTAAAGTAGTCACATATATCTAATAAAAAAATTGATTTAAATAAAATTTTGCTTTTACGACCGAGGAAAAGAATTAACAAGGAAAAAATAACAAACTAAAAATAAAAAAAACGATTAACAAAGAATGAACACAAAAAAAATTACCAAATGAAAATAGAACAATAGCTTATTAAAATATATTTAAAGTGTAAAAATGTTCTGTTACCGTGTAAGGTTTAATTTTCAACATAGTAATCCTTAGTGTTGCTAATTATATTTCTTTTTGGAACATATTTTCCAAGTAAAAAGATTTTTTAATCCTTTTTCTTTCCAATAAAAGTGTAT